ATAATAGTAATAATATGATGTCTATAAGAGTGTTTTTTGTTTTTTTGTCTCAAGTAGTCAGTGGTGTCCAAACTAGGGGCCCAAATGTTGCTTTAGGACATATTTTGTGTGTTTTTGTTGAATGTACTGATGTTGCAGAGGGGTTTCTTTTTTTTTTTCTTTTTTTTTCAGGTTCCAGATTGTTACTATAGTTTCCAGATTCCAGATAAATATATTTTTTAATACTAACTAAGATATTTATGTCACAGATAGTAGTTAGATAGTACAAGTTTGAGTGATTGATTGATATTTTTGTTGGCCTCATGTTTCCTGATGAAGTCGCACAAGTTGCTCTTTACTTCCTTAAACTTTACTTAAACCTTTACTTCAAATAAATAAAACACAGTATGTGAAAAAGTTTGGACAGCCTTACCCTATACATTTTATATTCTAAATTCTATAATTCATGGTTATCCTCTTTTAAAACCTTCCCCTTTAGTAAAAGCTTCTGTCACTTTACCCCTGCTCAGAAAAGTTCAAGGTTTATTTTTAAATTTCAAACCATAATTTCGTCAGTTTTTATCTTTGTGATGTGCAGGTTTTGACAAGACACTGTAATTTACGCAAAAAGTAGGAAACTAATGTGGTAAAGACAAAAATGAAAGATAAAAACGTAGGATTAAATAGAAAGTGTTCTTATACTTTGTTTTCTTTCTGCAAAATCCATCTGGACCTACAGGTGTTTTGATGATCAGATTTCACCAGTGTTGGGGAGTAACAGATTACATATACAGTTAATGTAATCAGAGTACAAATGATGAGTAACTGTATTCAGTTACAGTTACTGTTTCAGTGAGTGGTAATTGGATTACAGTTACTTTGTTGAAATAAATGGATTACACAGCGGGATTTTCCTGTTTTGGACTAAATCCCCCCTTTTTTTTTTTTGTTTGTTTGTTTTTGTTTTTGGTAATTCCACTCATTGCCGGAAACTAAACCAGGACTAAACCAGGACTAAACCAGGTCTAAACCAGGTCTAAACCAGGTCTAAACCAGGCCTAAACCAGGTCTAATCCAGGACTAAACCAGGACTAAACCAGGTCTAAACCAGGTCTAAACCAGGTCTAAACCAGGACTAAACCAGGACTAAACCAGGATGTAACAGGACTAAATCCTGCTGTGTGGACGTGTTTCTTCTTCTTCTATCAATAATATTCTTAATTTGGTTCAGTAAAGTCTGGGCTTTTTATTTTCTTTTAGCAGATAAAACATCTGATGCTATGATTTCCTCGTCTTTGCTTCTCTGCAGAAAATCAAGTAATCCAAAGTATTCAGATTACATTACTCACTTTAAGTAATTTAACAGATTATGTTACAAAGTACATTTTGGGGGATGTAATCTGTAATCTGTAGGGGATTACATTTTAAAAGTCACCTTCCCAACACTGGATTTCACACACATAATCAGATTTAAGTATCTTAAGTGTGATTAGTCTTTATAGATGAGTACTGTATTTTTAATGTACCAAAAGTTCATCTGCAGTTCCTTGTTTCCACCAGCAGATGGACTTGTGGATGCATGTATAAAGTCACACACAGCGGCTTTAAAATAATGCTTTTCTCTTAAATGTGAAGTTGGTTTGCAGCTCTGTACGTCTAATGTGAAGTCGGTGCGTGCGCGGGGCCCGGGTGGGTGTGTCCGCCGCTCCCACGGGCCAAAACACGCATTCATTTTGGGCATTTACTCGTGTTTGTTTTCACTGTGCCTTCGGTTCCATGGGAGCAATTTCTTCCGTGATGGAACTGAAGAGAATTCCCAGGGGAGTTCATTACACGCCGCGCCCGGACACGCCGCGCCTCGCCTGGGCAGGAGGGACCGAGACGCCCCCCCGGAGGAGCGCGGGAGGCAGAGGAGGGAGTGTCCCGGGGAGAGGGGGGGGCGACGGGGAGAGAGACCCTAAACTCTGGGCTAATGACCTACAGGACTGTGATTAACAAAGAAGAAACAGAACAGAGTCAACACCACAACTAATGTGTAAAACCCACAGAGAAAACAGCAGAGTTTAAAGGGCCGATGTGGAACTTCTCTGTTGTAGACTACTCATCTCTCCATGGAATGTTCCACAGTATAGCATTTAACTCAGTCATGTTGGACTAAAACCAGGACTAAACCAGGACTAAAATTAAGACTAAAACCAGGTCTAAAAGCAGGACTAAAATCAGAACTAAACCAGGACTAAACCAGAACTAAAAACAAGACTAAAATTAAGAATAAAACCAGGTCTAAACCAGGACTAAAACCAGATTTAACCACAAAGTAAAACCTCCATGGGGACGAGCAGGTGGTGGACCATCAGAAACACTGACAACTTCAACTAACCTTCATTTTTTTGTTGTTGTTGATTTTTATTTTTTATTTTTTGTTTACATCACAACAAATGAGATTTTAAACATTCTGACAAAATGTACTAGGTTAATCTGGACATCTTTCAGTTTTCTAAAGCATATCTATAAATACATGATCACAATAGTCTGAATTCAGCTGATTTAAACAAATGTATATCTTGTAATTTGGGTTTCAGGTGCTGAAAGATTTTACTGATCGATAAAGAAACAGCAGCAGCTCCGTTTCACTTTCCAAAACAAAAGAAACGAAACAAAATAATAATAATAAAACACAAAGCCCAGGTCTTTGTCACGGGGGAAACACAGTGAAAGCCATTCTCCAAAACCCTCACACCACGCTTCAGGAAAATGTAAAAAGAAGGAAATAGAGCTTTGGTAATTATTAAAAAATATATTCAAGGTGTTGCTTTTTGGTTGGGGGTCCATCACCTGCTTGTTGCCATGGAGATGTCATTACTCTGCCTAGAATGTTCCACAGTGTGACATTAAACAGCTCTACTTTACATTTATCACTCATCATGTACTTGATTTATGTACAGTGTTGGGGAGTAACAGATTACAGGTACCGGCGTTACGTAATCAGAGTACAAATGATGAGTAACTGTATTCAGTTACAGTTACTGTTTCAGTGAGTGGTAATTGGATTACAGTTACTTTGTTGAAATAAATGGATTACACAGAGGTATTTTCCTGTTTTCACATTTTGCCACTCATTGCTGGAAACTTAACCAGGTCTAAACCAGGACTAAACTAGATCTAAACCAGGTCTAAACCAGGTCTAAAATAGGTCTAAACCAGGTCTAAACCAGGACTAAACCAGGACTAAACCAGGATTTAACAGGGCTAAATCCTTCTGTGTGGACGTGTCTCCTCGTCTTCTATCAATAATATTTTTTATTTGGTTCAGTAAAGTCTGGACTTTTTATTTTCTTTTATCAGATAAAACATCTTATGTTACAATTTCCTCGTCTTTGCTTCTCTACAGCAAATCAAGTAATCCAAAGTATTCAGATTACATTACTCACTTTAAGTAATTTAATGGATTCCGTTACAAACTACATTTTGGGGGATGTAATCTGTAATCTGTAGGGGATTACATTTTAAAAGTCACCTTCCCAACACTGGTTATTTATCAATTACAGGTGGTTTAAGAGCTCAAAAATACCTCGAAAAACAGACATTCTGACTGTGAGCGGGGTCGCCTCTCCACAGATCTGACCTGCAGTGCATAAAAACTAAATCTAGTCAAGTTAAAATGATTTGAATTAACACGATTTGAGTAAATTTCAGTTGACAAGTAAAATGATCTGCCAGTAGAATAAGACTTTTGTAGTTAAAATATGAAAATACAACTTTCTACAGTTAAAATAAGAAAAACAACAACTTTTAGCACTTCAAATAAGAAACAAAATTGAACGTTGTTTGAATTAAGAGAAAAATACATATTCCGTTGGTGGATCATTTCACTTGTCAATTTGAATCAGCTCAAACAAAAGTCAAATGTTCTTAATTTAAGTCATTTTAACTTACCTAGAGATTGTTTTTCCATTGTGTAACTTGATCTGGTTTCTTTCCATGAAGCTATAAGTTTTAATGCCATACTGTGGAACATTCCAGACAAAGCAATAACATGAAGAAAAACATGTGACGAACCCTCCACCAGAAAAGTTACACAAGGGCCCGTCGAGCAGAAGTAAACAACAAGGCCAAAAACTCCAGTTAATGCATCTGATATAAAAATGTATTGAACAGATACATATGTACTCTAGTTTATGAAACTGTTGACCTTTTTTCTGTACCATTTTTGGTTGTAAAGTTCCATATGTTTTAAACAGACCATGTATGAAACATGGAACAAAAATTATTTCCCAAATTTCACAGACCTGCAAATCATGTCAATAAATGGATGTATTTCATCATATCTTGTGTTATTCCATCTTTGAACTGTTGATGAAGGGACAGGATTTAACAAAAAAAAAGTATTTAAAATGATAAAAAATTGCTTGGAAGGACTGACATATTTTATAGAAATAATTTCCTTTCATTTTGAAGTAATATTAAAGTATTTGGAAGAAAAAAGTTGATAAATTATGTAAAATCCTGCACCTTCTACTTGTTTGTACAATTTTCCCTCCGTTACTTTTCCCTCCGTTACCATGACCTTTCTTAATAAAAAAATCTCATGACTCAAAAAGTAAGAGGTTTTTCAACCTAATCTTGTACCATATGGTAGAAAACTATATGAAGCAAATATTCAAACCAGTTTGTTAAGGATATGGAAGTGAGAACCAAGAGTTATCACTGTTTGGATTTATTGACCAAAGTGCTGCATATTTCATTCCCTCTGTTACCAACATGAGTTTTTAAATTTTTTGTCAACAACTTGAAAGAATATCACAGGTTTAACTTGACCCTGTTGGAGTGTAACTCTTTCCTACATTCTGATACTTTACTTATTTCAATAGTCCCTCTAGTTTCTGAATAAGACACATTTGAATGTCAAAAATCTGCCCCTGTTTCCCTCCGTTACCACTTGACCAGACCCAGAGTCCATCTTTAAACATACATCAGATTAAATGTTATGCAGTGAAATAATGAAAACAGAGTAGAAAAGGTGTTAGACATTTGTACATTTATTGCATGTCGTTAGCAAACAAAGCACTGGTGAGGAGGATGTCCACGTGAAATGTTACAGAATATACAAAAACTATTCTATTTTAAATTCTACTTTTGAGAAAATCTCTCAAGTCTTAAACAAACACGAAAAGCACAAATGAACAGAAAACGCACCACTGTATAATCAGGACATTTTAATTAGACTTCCAGGTGCACTGAGAGACATTTTGGATGAGGGTCTGTCATCTGCTTGTTTCTATGGAGATGTTATTGCTCAGCCTGGAATGTTCCACAGTGTGACTTTAAACTTACATTTATTTAAATACATTTGGTTTCATAGCTCAAAAATACCTTAAAAACAGATTCTGACTGTGAGCAGGGTCGCCTCTCCACAGATCTGAAACTAAACCAGGACTAAACCAGGACTAAACCAGGACTAAACCAGGACTAAACCAGGACTAAACCAGGACTAAAATTAGGACTAAACCAGGACTAAAATTAGGACTAAACCAGGACTAAAATTAGGACTAAACCAGGACTAAAATTGACTAAAACCAGATCTAAACCAGAACTAAAATCAGGACTCTCCACAGATCTGGCCTGTAACTTGGTCTGGTTTGGTCTCCATGAAGATGGAAAGGTTTAAAGTCACACTGTGAAACATTCCAGACAAAGCAAAAACATCTCCATAGAAAAAAGTGTTTGATGGACCCTCCACCAGAAAAGTTACGCAATGCACCTTTAACAATGATTCAGGCTTAGGAACCACTAACGAAGACGACAGCAGACATGTCCAACTCAGGCCCGGGGACCAAATTTGGCCCATGATATAATTATATTTGGCCTGTGAGATCATTTCAAATATGTAGTAGAGCTGCCCGCCGGCGACAGATCGACTATAGAAACATTATTTATTTAAAATGTTGTTATTTTATATTTTGCTTGATCTGGATTCAATGTTTGAGCAAAACTTTTATTTTAATAAGAAAAGGTTGAACATTACATATCTCGAAAGAAGAGAAAACATGCAGATGCTGTTGAAAATTTTCAGTAAATATTTAATTTGGCCCACGACTTTGTCCCAGTTTTTAATTTCAGCCTCTGTGAATTTGAGTTTGATGGAACTTTCACCTGTCGCCTGCATGAATCCATGTGAATACAAAGTTAAAACCAGACTTTGGAACATTCTCCATGGTTTTATACGTCTTAAATATGTACTTTGGAAGATTATAGTCAAAGCAACAACATTTCCATGGAAACAAGCAGGCCAAATACAAGTCAGGTTTGTGGACATGCGAGCTCGCTCAGTTTTTCAGTGTCATCAACAACTAGACTGAAAACACACTCTTTACTTGAGTTTATTTATCGCTAAAACGATACTAAGCCTGAATCATTCTTAAGAAACCATTATGAGTTGATTCTTTCTAATTAAAGCATATCAATTATAAAATGTTCCAGAATAAAGCACTGCTCTGTGGTATAAGGCACTTCTTATGAAAGCTGGAGTTATATTTCTATATTTTTATATTTCTATATTTCTGACTTCATGAAACTTGTACTAAAATATGAAACTGTAAACTCCACTTCCCGCTGTATGTACAAAGAGAAAAGCTTTTTACATAAGGAAGAGGCTTTTGACTTTTTTCTTCTTTGGAAATTAGGTCATTTTTTATAATATTTTTTAGCGAGTTATATCATTTTGCAGTAACAGTACTCTTACTCGAGTACAGTTACTCTGCCACCTCTGTTCTTTCTATGGTCCATATAACGACTCTATAAACTACTACTACTGTAAACACAAGTACAGTATCTTTGAATTGCACTTTACAATAAAAACTTTGAACTCCCCTTTTGTAATACAACTCTCATTTTGTGTTTGTGCAAAGGGAAAAGCAGAACACTGGTACACGCACATTTACCTTAAGTACCTTAAAGGAGACATATCATGCAAATTTGACCTTTTTTTGAGTTTTAAACCTTGTTAGAACATTGTTTCCTCATTTAAAACATTCATTCAAGTTTTGGTTTCATCTTCTGTAAAAATTCCTTTGATTCTGAGCCTCAAAAAATGCACAGCTTGAATTTTCCCAGGATTGTTGCATCATAGGTAGAAACACTGAGCAGTTTTTAGGTCCTTAAACCATCACCAGACTTATCCAAAGTATTCTACACTCAAAAAATGCAGAATATTTGTCCTATCTTGTCCAAAAACATGTTTAAAACTCAACAGAAGCCAAAATAATGCATGACGTGTTCCCTTTTATATATCAAATCTTACAAAAACCAAAACAAACCGAAAGTAGTGCTGAAATCTCGTTGAACTTTTGCATGTTTAAGGCATTTGTGTGCCTAAAGTGCTTTTACCACTCGCTCTAAACGGAAAAATGATTAGCCACGACTTAAAGAAATACATTCTTAAACAGAAGGTTAAAGGAGCTGTATGTAAGATTTAGATTTGAATTTCCATAAACATGACGTATATGTGTCTCCAGATATAAGAAGACATGTGATTGTAACGCTGATTTATTCTTAATTACAGAAACATGCTGCCAAAGTTGTTTATGTCATAATTTTGTGTTTTGGTTCAAGTCAATTCTCCAATCAGAAAGCAGCATGAGCCTCACATGAGTCTCTCATTTGGGTTGCCAGTTCCAATGCAGAAATCCAGCGTGTTTAAAACTAAAATGCCTCTCTCTGATCTGAATATTCACGCAAAACTGACTCTTGTGAGCTTTAAGTCGTGTTATAATGTTGTTATCTCTAGGGATGGGCATGATTAGTCGATAAATTGATAATTGATCATTAAGAATTTCATCGATTATGTTCATTTTAATCGACAAACCGAATGTAGGTGGCTGTGCGTAGTGTAGGGTGACCAAATGTCTGTGTCCGGGGACAAACAGAGGTCCAGACATGTGTCTCTGCACTCAGAATTAGCGAGACACAAACAGTGGGTCAGTCTGCAACGTGCAGAAGCACAAATGTGTATTTAACAATGACTTGTACAAGAAATTCCACACTTTCCGTTCTGGTCGGGACAAGTGTGAGTCCATGTGCACAGTGTATAAAGCAGCACATATGTTTCGGTGTCCAGTGGGAAAAAGTTCATCAAGACACTGAAAACATGAAAAAGTTTTGTCAGCTGAGAGTCGCTCAATGTGGATGACGAGTCCCCACCCCCCAACCCCCGTACGCTGTCCTGGATTTGACAAACGCAAATATGGTCACACTGACCTGTATTCACCTGAATCTTCTCTTCACTTAGTTTATGCAAATGAGTCATGTGGTTTTAAGTTCTGTTTCTGTGAGAGTTGCTCAAAGCTGAATTAAACACATTCTAATGTCAAACAGCTGATGTGGCTCTAGAGTGGTTACGGTTTATATGTCGTAAAGTTGAATTTATTTATGCAGATTAGTGCAGATAGTAATAATAATGATGATCATTTTGATATAAAAACAATAATGATTAATCGATAATCAATCGTTAATTCTCCCGACGATTGATTAGGAAAATTTGGTCGAATGCCCATCCCTAGTTCTCTCCTCAGAAACAGACCTGGAGTTGTGTTTTGTTTCATTCATACATGTTTGAGAAACCCTTTATTATTAGTCTGTCTTCATCCCCAAACCTCAAAATGCTCTGTTCCACCTTGTGATGTCATGAAGCTGTAGTTTTCAAGTGAACAGCTCCTTTTAGTTCAGTACATTATCAATTCCAGGTCTTAAATGATCCAAATGATTCTAGTGAACGTGTGTGGAGTTTAAAAACACAGTGGAGCACTTCATGTATCACCACATGACATCACAAAATGGAACAGCGTTTTCTGTTGGAGAAAAGAACAGTGGTTTGTGTGTTAAACATGTGTGAATGAAACAAAACACAACTCCAGGTCTGTGTGTGATGAGGAAACATTAGAACGTGGATGAGAAAAAGCTTGATATTTGCCCTTTAATGTGTGATCCTCTTTCTGCACGTTCACTTGTGATTGTAAAACCTTTTTAAAACAGTTTAAAACCGCAGGCCACATACAGCTCCTTTAATCTGGATTACAAAGAAAGCAACAAAGCAGAGCTGCGTAAAAACATCAAAACAATCAAATGTGTTAAACCAGGACTAAATAACTTACAATGATTTGCACTGTAGCTGAAACTCAACCACAAAACAAAGAAAAAAAAAAAAAAAAAAAGGTAAAGGTAAAGGTGCACTGTGTAACTTTTTGATGGGAGTTGCCTTCTGCTCGTCTCCATGGAGATGTTATTGCTTTGCCTGGATGTTTCACAATATGGCAGTGATCTGAGTTCCATTTCCATGGAGACAAGAAAGTAACACCACAAGGCAGGGTTACTCAGGTTAGATCTGTGGAGAGGCGACCCCACTCACATAAGAATGTATTATTGTAGTATTTTTGCGCAGTTTAAACACTTGTAATCAAATGCGTGCAAGACACATTTCAAATCCGTGTATCATTCGTTCATTTGTTTTTCAAAATAAAACAAAAAAGAAAATGAAAAAACAGATAACGATTTATTTATTCAGTTTTAAATTTTGTGTTTAAATGAATAATGGAAAAAAAAAGATTATTTCATATAATCCATTTCTGTGACTTAAACTGTGATGCCGGACTTTTGCACCACATACGGACTGAACCAGGACTAAACCAGGACTAAACCAGGACTGAACCAGGACTGAACCAGAACTGAACCAGAACTGAACCAGAACTGAGTGACAGATGGGCCCAGAGGTGCGCCCGCGTAGACTGTTGGGTGATCAGGACTGAGACCAGGTCCAGACCAGGACCAGACCGGGACTGAGACCAGGACCAGACCGGGACTGAGACTAGGACTGAAACCAGGAAAACACTAGGACTGAGACCAGGACCACACCGGGACTGAGACTAGGACTGAGAACCAGGACTGGACTGGGACTGAGACCAGGACCAGACTAGAACCGAGACCAGGACCAGACCGGGACTGAGACTGATTTAGTCCCATTTTAGTCCTGATTTAGACCTGGTTTAGTCCTGTTTTAGTCCTGATTTAGACCTGGTTTAGTCCTGATTTAGTCCTGATTTAGACCTGGTTTAGACCTGTTTTAGTCCTGATTTAGACCTGGTTTAGTCCTGATTTAGACCTGGTTTAGTCCTGTTTTAGTCCTGATTTAGACCTGATTTAGTCCTGTTTTAGTCCTGATTTAGACCTGGTTTAGTCCTGTTTTAGTCCTGATTTAGACCTGGTTTAGTCCTGTTTTGGTCGCGGTTCAGTCTGTTTGTGGCACAAAAGTCTGGCATTACAGTTTAAGTCACAGAAACGGGAAATGGACGTTATCTGTTTTGTTTTTTCCATTATTCATTTAAACACAAAATTGAAAACTGAAAAAATAAATCATTATCTGTTTATTAAATAATGAAGATTTTTATTTTATTTATTTTTTGTTATTTGTGGTTTTATTTAGAAAAACGACTGAACAAATGACACACGGATTATTTAATGCCATACTGAAGCATTCCAGACAAAGCAGAAGCATCTCCATGGAGACGAGCAGGTTTGCCGACCTTCGATCAAAAACGTTACACGGTGCATCTTTAACCCCATTTTAAAACAGGGACATTGTTAAAACCTTTTCTAAACGACACTGCACTGAAGCTGAAGCCTCCATGGTGTGTGTGTGTAAACCGATGGATCAGTGCAGAAGAATCTATGGACCTACCAAACTCCTTCACTATTTACAGTCACCACTCAAGTCCAATCAGGCTCTAACTGTGAATGTAACTAGAGAGACTTAGATTATACTTCACTACATTATCAAACGTATATTTTGGTTTCTTTTTACATTTGAGAAAGAAAACAAAAACAAAAACACACTATACCTGGACAGTCAAACGTCGCGCCCTCTACTGACTAAAGAGAAGGCACCGCTTTATAATAACAGCTACAGCTCATCTGAAACAGTATGACTGACCAGGCTAACCATAATTATAATCTTTACATTTCTATAGGACGGCACACACTTACACAGCATCAAGCAATAATCTGAATAAAAACATTTAAGTACATTTTTATGGGCTGGGAGATTTTAGTTCTAAATAACGGACAGAATACTAAACCCAACAGAGCCTTTAAAATGTCAAGAAAATGTTCTAAACTCTGGAGTAAAGAGGAGCAAAGTGAAACTAGAACACTTCAACAGATCAGGCGCTGGACTGGACATGGCTGGACGTCATGTTCTATGTTATACACTTTAAATGTAGGGAAAACTTCACCAAAGGACACTTCAGAGTTTACAAATGTACATCTTTGTATGTCTTTGTACATCTTAAATCAAACAAAAACACTACTTTTAATTTGTAGTAAAGATGATTATTTGTCAGTGTAGATTATTTCAGTCTGTGGTGTTTAAATATTTAATAATAGATCAGTTTTGAATAGTGCTTTTTTGGACAGATCAAGCATTTTACAGAGCATTATTCACCCGGGCCTTTCTGTGTGGAGTTTGCATGTTTCTCCCCGTGTCTGGATGGGTTTCCTCCGGGTGCTCCGGTTTCCCCCATCAACCCAAAACATGCTACAGGACTCCAAGAACAGTTGATAGTCAAGGTCAATTAAAAATACAATTAATCAATGAACCTGTCCAGGGCACTGGTGCTAGTGGCTAGACACTTCACCCACATTGCCTAGTATGAAAGTGGTGTGTGTGTGTGTGTGTGTGATGGTGGTGGTCGGAGGGACAGTTAGCGCCAAGTGGCATGGCAGCAGCGCCTCTGTCAGTCTGCCCCAGGGCAGCTGTGGCTACAACAGTGGCTTACCATCACCAGGTATAGAGTGAATGAATAATATATATATATGCTGAATGTAATGCTCTGTAAAGCGTCTTTGTGACAAAAATGTCTGTGAAAAGCGCTATAGAAATGGGGACTTACTTACTCTGTGGTTTAAGCTATTACTATAGCCACAGCTGCACTGGGGCAAACTGACAAAAGCGAGGCTGCCAATCTGTGTCATCAGCCCCTCCAAACACCACCACACACTCACACACACCACTTACACACTAGACAATGTGAGTGAAGTGTCTTGTCTAAGGATACAACGACTATCATACACATACACAAACACAAAAAACAGAAGTGTTCTCCACTGAACTTTTCTCTCCATTTGTAAAGTGTTTAACATGTTGTCAGTGCCACCTGCCCACAGCCAGTCTCTGTCTGATCTGTATTTAAGATCAAGATCGACTGATTTAATCAGGATTTTGCACAAACCTCACAGACATTACATTAGAGCAGAAATGGTGGAGACTGTTTCTCTGACCAAACTACACTGTGCCAAAGTGCACAGATCCAACTTCATTATGTCCCACTTCACTTCTCCTCCGTTCCACAGTTTAGTCCATTTGTTGACACATGTTTAAAGGTTCTATAAACTCTTTACAAAACTATCTCCATGGCATTTCATAATCACCTCCACATCTCCTGACATGGATCCTTCCCTTTAGATACATTCATTGAACAGACTCCCCTCAAAGTGCAGCCCCCGACCCCCTTTAACACTTCTGTACTTTACTCTACAAGTCGACATTCATCATACAACCTTTTAGCACAAACATACACGTGTACAGTATTTTATGAATGACCTGCATAACAGACGTCTCTTATTTATCATGTAACACTAAACATGTTAAAAGTGAAAATGACTTCAGTTCAGAACAGTACTTTAGATTTGACATGTATATACAAAATGTTCTTAACACAGATTATTTAACTTGAAATTAAACTAGAAAAATATTAAATGGGCTCCATGTTTAATCATAAATTAATAGAAATTACAATGGTTGTTGTCCCAGGCCCCAGGGTCTTAGGGGCCCAGAATTGGAACCTCTGCTTATTAATTAATACTGGAGGGAGGCCCATGTGAGTCTTTTTGCTCCGGGCCCCCAAATTTCTGTCGACGGGCCTGCATACATGTAAGGCAAGGTGAACAATTTTGGGAAAAGCAGCAAATTGTGATTTTTCAGACATGTCGCGTTCACATTTTAAACTCGTCCAGAAGAATTGACATAAAACCTGAAATATGACCTGACCTCTGTGTAACTGCTGCAGTGAGCCTCGTTATTTTGGTCTTTAAATGTTCGTATTAACCCGCTCTGGGTTTTTCCTGCTCCTAATACGAAACTTGTCTCCAAATTTGCTCCTATAACTGTCATTCTCGATGAGCTTCATTTGACTGGAACGGAACGCTGTGGGTGACGTCACACTCCCTCAGAACACGTCTTTACACAGTTTATGGTTTGGATCTAAACTAGAGGGTTAGAGTTTTGATGAAGTTTTACACTGCAGTCTTTAAGATTTGCTTAGTACATCTATTTAAATTGTAATTTCGATTCCATTCTGATTAAAGCTCAAGCCATTTTCATTTAAAACTAAATTTTTTTGCAATGTTTTTGATTATTGTTATATTTTATCTCCTTTTTTGTTAGTATGGCTTATTCTTTGGTTGTAATTTTTGTTAAATATTATTATTGTTTATATTTTGTGGTTATTATTTCACAGAGATTATGAATTTAAAAAGAGGTAACAAAACAAAAATTGTATATTTTGAGTTAAAATCAGGAAAGATTAAAACTGAGACACTAGAGTGAGTAGAGTGACATATACCAGGTCAAATAAGTGTATTCTGAACAAAAGTCATTTCACCTCACGTACTTTACATTTTAAACTTTTTTATAATATGTAGTAAAACATACCATTTTAACATATTATTTCTATGAATTTCCCAGTTGCCATGGTAGCGCTGAGCGGTGTGCACAGGTCCAGCATGTAGAGTGTGCGTTGATGCTGATTGGACGAGGAGGCGGAAGGGGGAGGGGCCAGGGTGTCAGCTGTGAGCCGCGGGCCGTCGGCTTTAGCTGCCCTGGGTCAGATTCTGCATGTGCTTGGCGATGTCGTACACGTAGGTGATGTCCGGTCGCTTCTCGGGGTCGGGGTTTATGCACATGTCTACCAGGTTTCTCAGCTGTGGGAGGGGCAAGGGGCAAAGGGGAGGGGTCAAAGGGCAGGAGGAGGACAAGGACAACAAAGGTTAAATGTTTGTTTGTTTCAGTCAGTTTAAGGCAAAAAACACGACGAAACAAGGACAAAAACAAGTATGAGCCATTTGTAATCCTGGAGAAAACCAAGACCCACAAAACAGATAAAACATCTCAAATCCAGTACTGAACAAGGACTAAACCAGGACTAAACCAGGACTCAACCAAGACTGAACCAGGACTAAAGTTGGAATAAACCAGGACTAAACTTGAAATAAACCAGGACTAAACCAGGACTAAAGATTTTGGTGTGAATATTTCCATCATAATCCCAAGATTTCAAGTAAAAAACATATTTCTTCATGTTTTCTGCACTGAAATGAATCGTGGGATATGTAGTTCCTGATGTTTATTAGGTGTTACTACTACAAAACAAGGCATTTAAGCAGAGGAACTTGTAATTCGATATATTGTGACAGTCCGTGATATTATTGTGACACTTCTGATGATACGATATCACGATATTTCGATTATTGTTACATTCTTACTTTAAACTTAAACTCGATCTCCATGGAGAAAAAAGGAGTTTGGTTTTACCTTTCTTTTTCCATGGATATATGCAGGTGACATGCCATCCCCAGAAAGTTACACAGTGTGGCTTTAAAGTTTAATACTAAATACTGAAAAAAAAAGCATAATATATCTTCTTTAGACATTCAAATTCTGGTTTCAACTCCCCAACCCCGGCCCGAGCCAGTACAGAGGAGCTCATTATTTGTGTTTACAGTGGCGGTCAGTGGAGCCTCACATTCACAGAGACTTTAGCCTGGCACACACTCACACTTCCACCCCGCTCGCCCCCCCCCCTCCACGCTGCCACTCCGATGCCAACCGCCGCGAGACAGACGGGCACGCACGCACGCCATCATTAAGAACACTCGTCGAAGCCCCGTCGCCATGGTAACTGGCCGCTCGCTTCCTGTCCGCCGTAGCGTGCCGCGCTCGCAGACAGATTCTTGTCAGGGATCGTGTGTGTGTGTGTGTGTGTGTGTTTTGGAGTGGGAGGAAGATTTGGAATTCAGTTTAAATTTGTAAATATTGAGGGTGATGAATTATTAGCTTTCGGGGCAGCGGTGGCACAGTTGCTGGTTTTAACGTCAGGTTGCTGCTGTTGTGTCTCTTGGCAAGACGCTTCACTTCCTCTGCACAGTTCAGGCATCTGCTTGGCCGGTGTGACAGGAAGGGCATCCGGCATAAAAAAAAACATTAAATCCAATTAATCCACTCCAATTAAAGGGAAGTGATGAAAACTGGTTTACACAAATGTCAACAGTTTTCTGAACAAGAAATCAGCCGCCAAAATCAAAGAATGAGTTTAACCAGTGGATTTCATCAAGAACATTTTAGGATGTGAAGAATTAGGTTGGGAAATATTGGCAAAGTAATAAATCAAAATACTAATTTAAGATGCACTAACAAAAAATGTATATCTTCATGCAGAAAAGCAGGTGTTGGACATTGAACTTTTCTAGTGGAGTTACATGAGATACGTGCACATTTACAAACCAGTCATCAAAATCACAGAACTCAAAGAATGATTTTAAGAAGTGGATACTGTCAACAACCATTTAAGGATATGAAGAAACAGCACGGAAAATGTGAGTAGTTGGTAAAAATACTACAAATAAAATAACATTTCTGACATTTCTTCAGTTGCATGTGTTTTTATTGGGTGATAATGCATTGAAAAAGATGAATTCTTATTGAGATTTCACCACCGATCTAACCTATAACTTGGCCATCTACCTGAAGATATACCATATTTTTCAGACTATACAGTAAGGGGCATAATCGATAATATTGAAATCTCTCGCCTGTTTTCATACATAAGGTGCACTGGATTAAGTGAAACAAACAGACGACACTCGAGACTGATCCTTAGTCCAGGTGTCCTCCATCCATCAGCAGATGGTGGTGTAACTCGCCCGGTGTTGCCTCTCTGTCTTGGTGAATGTGGATTATAAATGTGAATGTGGGTGGATCATTTAAGTTTTTGTTTTTCTTTTAATTCCCTACGAGGACAACTCAAATATACATTAAGTAATAATTTCTTTAATGCAGGTTTGCGCACATTTGTTGTGGTTGATACATTTTACAGAAACAAAACTTAAAACCACATGGTTAATTTGCATAAACTATAAGCGCTGAAAAAAACAGCTCGCTCCTTGTGTGCTGATGCGGTTCAGCTTCTGTTGGACTAAAGGACACGACTCCGCGAGGCTCCTCACTACAGTCGCCGTAATGCTCTGACAATCCAACAAGAGGTGTAGCTTCGTAGCTTTCCAAAGTCATACTAAAACATTTGGACAGATTCTTGAGCGCCGTGTACCACATAAAATCGGTTCGAGGTCAGTAAGCGCAACCAGAATTAATAAATAAGGCACACTGGATTATAAAGCACACTGTCGATTCAATTTGAGAAAATTAATGGATTGCGCATTATAGTCTGAAAAATATGGTACTTGAATTAATGCCATACTGTGGAATATGTTTAGCAAAAACATAACACCTCCATGAAGACAAGCAGGTGACGGACCCTCAACTTTTCTAGTGGAGTTAAATACTGAACAATTAAAGGTCCTATATTACACAAAAGTGACTCTTGTGAGCTTTAAGTCATGTTCTCATGTTCTTTCCTCCTCAAAAACAAACCTGGAGTTGTTTTGTTTCATTCACATGTTTGACTAACTCTTTATTATTAGTCTGTCTACATCCCCAAAGCTCCAAATGTTCTGTTCCACCTTGTGATGTCATGAAGCAGAGGTTTTCAAGTGAACAGCTCCTTTTACCTTTAAGTCAGCAGAGATTGGCAATTCCTGGTCTGAAACTATCCAAATGATTCTAGTGAAGGTGTCTGAAGTTTTCCTTTTGAGCGAAGAACTCACCGTAAATTGCAGGGTTTGTGTGTTAAACATGTGAATGAAACAAAAACACAACTCCAGGTGTGTTTGTGATGAGTTAAATAAATTGGAACAAACTGGTAGATGATAAAATAATGTAGTATGTTCCCTTTAACCTGCATTTTTAGAACAAATTAAACATTGACTATTTTACCTCTTCTTTGTAAAGCTTCTCTGGCCTGTTCACCAATTATTATTCATTCAGTTGGTGCCATTAGAAAAGCATTAGTTGGACTCTCCTGACGGTGACCCCTGCTGGACACGAGGTGGTCAGCAGCTGTGCATCTGGGAGCGTTCAACACACACACCACACACACACACCACACACACACATGATGTAAATGAGAGAAAAAGAGAGAATTAGTGACTCAGAATGGAGACAGTGGGAGATGGAGGAGCTGACGAGAGGCAGACGTTAAATATTCATGTGGCTCTTTGCATGAGGAGTGTGGCCACGTTTTTATCACCATGTGGGGACTGAAATCTGTGTACGCACATAAGGCCTGGCTCCCACACGGGGACAAAAACAGCTCCCTGTGACGTACAGATCCTTTATCATCAGATCGACAACATGAAGGAAAGCTCTGATACAGGTTATAACAGGGCATGGTTTAGGTTAAAGGTGCACTGTGAAACTTTTCTGGTGGAGGGTTCGTCACATGTTTTTCTCCATGGAAATGTTATTGCTTTGTCTGGAATGTTTCACACTATGGTATTAAACCTTTCTATCTTCATGGAGAACAAACCAAACCAAGTTACAGGTCAGATCTGTGGAGAGGCGACTCCGCTCACAGTCAGAGTTTGTGTTTCTCTAGGGATTTCTGAGCTATAAAACCACCTGTGATTGAATAAATGTAAATTACATTTACACACAGTCGAGTTTGTTGAGGAACAAATATTTCAGTCCCTCCATTTTCCAAAATAACATTGTGCAGACAGCATTATTTTCAAAAAAGTTTTCGTTTACATCGACCCGCATAAATAGGCCATCAAGCTACACAACGCCTCTGGGCGGCACCTGGATTAGATTCAAACCAGCAGCATTTATTTCATTACAGTTGTAAATATTACTCAAAAAAACCCTTGAAAAATGTGCATTAGTGAGCGGGCTCGCCTCTCCACAGATCTGTTAAAGAAGTGGCAAAATCACTGACCTCCAAGCCTCATTGGTCTCTGGTCATGGATATGAAACCTCAGCTGTGTGTGCAAATGAAACACATGAAAAGTGTTTGCAGCTGAACAAATGCCACTGGTCAACAGAAAGTTGCCCAGTGCACCTTCTCTTGTTCACCTATCTCCATGGAGACAGTCAGGCCACACCACTAAGCCACGTTACAGGTCAGATCTGTGGAGAAGTGAGCCAAGTGAGCCCACTCGCAGTAAGAATGCCTGTCTTTGTGGTAGTTTGGAGAAATAAAAACACTTGTAAATGAATAAATACAAAATATATTTGTTTTAATGCCAGACTATGGAACATTCCAGACAAAGCAATGACATCACCATGGAGACAAACACATGGCAGATGCTCCACCAGAAAAGTAACACACCTTTGCACCTTTAAAGTTGTGGTTAGGTTGTTTACAGTGAGGTTGTCAAATACACAATATAATAGAAGTTAAAATTAAAGTTAAAATGCAGATTTTTTTTTTTTTTTCAGTACAGCAACATCCTGGATCTAGTTTAGTCCACTGGTTTATTTTAACTCCCCTTCTTTCATTTAAAAAACACATTTACACTCTTAAAATTTCTCAAATATTAAGACAAAAATGACCATATAAACTACTGCAGACAAATATAAATGAGGGTTGACAGTGGTGATGCTCTAAAAAGAACTTTTCTAATGCACTAATAATAAAAATGATCAGACTTGAGTATTATGATTATGAATCTGGAAACTACTAATTGTCAGAATACATTTATTTTTTAAACTGAGCATTATGGTACAGAAATGGGTAAACCTCGTCCTCAGTATCAAAATCAAGCTTGAAATGTTTGTATCGTGACAACTAGACTACAGTAAATGAATG